GACGTTTTTAAAAGTCTCTGTGTGTTCAGCTCTCAGTACTTTTGTAGCTTCTAACTGAATCTCTGTGGTTTGGAGTTTAGTTTCTCTCCTGCGTCCTGTTTTTACTTTAGATATCTGCTTTATTTTACGGTTTCATCTTCACTATCAGCTGTATTAGAAGTTGTGTGAAGTTGCTGCTCAAAAACTCAACACTTCCTTATTTTGCTGCTTCACAATAAAAGTTTTCACATAATAAAATAACAGGGACATTTATTTTTAAGACTATAAAAATTAAAATACCGGTATGTTTATTACCGAATTAGCGAAACTTTATTAGCGGCTTTTTTTTTTTATCAATTAAGACAATTCTAATAATACATCGGGGAGGAAGAGTAAAAGCAGAAACAGCCATATTGAGATGTTGATGAAGAGCTGCAGACAACAGGCTCTTACTGCACCTCTGCAAACAGCTCACCTCCAACAGGTAAACTTCTATTACCTGCCCTGCTGTGGAAAAACACATGCAGCAAAAATAACAGAGGACTTCAGCCGTGGATCAGCTTGCAACTGAACATGTAGCCCACTTCGTAGAAAATACCGGGATATATATCTTGTATCGCCATTCAGCCTGAAAATACAGAGATATGAATTTTTGTCCATATCACCCAGCCCTATTATGGATTGTAGATGTGAAATCCATAAATTCTTCTGCAGTTATTCATTGAGAAACATTGTTCTTAAGCTGTTGGACTGTTTGCCCACTATAGTTTCCACAAAGAAACCACCGTTGCTTGTGAACATCTGAACATTTAGAGGATGCCCCTTTCACACTCAATCATCACCATCACCTGTTACATATTAAGCTGTTTACCTGTGGAGTGTTCCAAACAGGTGTTTTTTGTGTATCTCACAAATCAAAAGGTGCACAGTTTAAAGACACTCACGCTGTGGTTGACAAAGTGGGAGATGTTGCCTTGGTGAGCAGCATCCACTGTATAAACATCCTCCACATAGTCCAGGTCAAACAGGTAGGTAGAGCCTTGACGGTCATATACATGACCTCTCCTCTCCGCTTCATCTGTTGTGATGATCTGGAGGAAACAATACAGGACATCACTGGAACAAAAGCCTCAATCATTTTTGGATACAACAACAAAATAATAAATAATAATAATAAAAAAAATCACATTCCCACATCAAATATTTACTAGAAATATCTATCAGCACACATAATCTCAGCCTGCCAGGGACTGCTGTGGCCGTGCTGCGGCCATGCTGCCTGCTCTCTCCGGTTTTACGCCGGGCTCGGCTCCTTTCAAAGACTCCTTGCAAAGAACTCCTCCAGGGTTTTTTCGGACCTAATTGTATTGCGGAGTTTTGCACAGTGGCGACCAGATCTTTGCTCTCAAACCACAAAAAAATGTGATGGCACAACAGTCTCCTTCAGTACATTATTCTATGCTTTCTTTTGATTTTCACATTGGCTAGTCATCCTGTTTAATTTGTCTTCTGATTACATCGGAACCGCTGAAACAAGTTGTAGGGAGCCTCTGCAAGTAATTGGTTGCTGGCAGACACTCTGTGCTGCAATACAATGGTTAATCAGCAGTGCCGTGCACTGTAGAGCCGATGTGCTGCTGGTTCTGCCGGCCTGAATAGAATATAATGTCTACTGTTGTGTACAGCATTTATAGACTGAGCTGAGTAGTGATGCGCGGGTCAACCCGTAACCCGCGGGACCCGCAAATGGGCCTGCAGGTCGGGCAGCAGTGATCGTCTGTTAAATCGGCCTGTAAATGATATTTTGACATTATTACTATAATCTATTAATCTATAATCTATTACTGTCATGGCATCCGAAGGTACTGATGCGTTGAGCAGGTGACAGTCCGCAGCCGTTTTCAAAACACACTTGTGTCACGCACTCCAAAAGAAACTTGTTGAAACTTATAATTTATTGTACAAAACGGGGGAAACAAACGTTGACAAAAACGGTTCCATAATTCATATTAAATTCAAAAGATAATGAAAAAACAGCTACAAGTTAGAGGGAATAGTGATAAAGTGGTAAAACTTGGCACTGATCCACAGCCTCAGATGGATGTGCTCAAGCGTGCTGTGCGCACAAGCTCCGTTGGTAGGCTATACTATATTTTCACATTTTTAACAATGCAATTTAAAAGTTTTGATTTTTATTGATAACCTACATTTACCAACAACAAAAAGACTATATTTAGCACCAAAAAAATATGTTAAAAAAAAAAATAATTAAAAAAAGTAAATAAAAAAACGAATATCGAATACCAAATTTTCATAACGAATACCTACCCATAGAAATGAATATTCGAATATCCGAATATTTGGGTACAGCCCTACTGGGCGATAAATCGATTTCATCGATTAATTCAAATTTGTAGTTTAAGTCAATTTGTTTTAATGAAAATCGAGTTTCTCTTTAACATCCGACACTCCCCGCTTGGCTCACGTAGTTCAGAGTCATCATGGCAGCGAGCGGGAAGAACTCATTCCCTTTCGGTTTTGTGATGTCAGACACAGAATAAACAGCACCCCACTGCAAAGTGTGTTTGAAGGCTGCTGCTACCCAAGGTAGCAGTACTACCAATTTACTGCAGCACCTCAAACAGAGGCATGCTGCCCGAGTGGGAGAGGTGTTGCTCCCTATGAAAATATCCCTATTCAAGTGCTTGAATTTGTTATTTACGTGACAACGCCTGAACGCAACACAGGCTCCTCTTCATAGACTGTGTGTTCAGTGCTGTGCTGTAGGTTCGGGACCAGGCTAGGTTATAACTGTCTTGGACTCGGGAAAATGCGTCCCGAGCTGCGCTCTAGTGTGCTCACCTGTGTCTGCGCATGTATATGTGTGTGTGTGTGTGCGCGTGCATCGGGGCCGCTGTGCGCAAAACAGAGCAGAGGAGGATTGTAAACGTGCACCGTGTAGAGACAGAACTGACATGCCATTGTGTAAATAAGATAAATAACATAAGGCTCTTTAGTTAAGGACAGGGTATAGACCTGTTCTATAGGAAAGGTGACCTTAAATGCTTCTGTTGTCCCTTGTGCAATCTAACTGAAGAGCCCTGCAATAGATCCCACCTGTGTTTGCCTCAAAGGGGGTTCAGTTTGCATTGACAATGTCAGAGAGGTGTGATTTTTGTAGTGGGGGAGAGAAGGTGGGAGTTGGATTATTGTACATCTCTGAAAGTTATTAACTTATTTAGAGCACTGCTTTTTCAGATAACAGCAAAGTGTTTGTTTTCAGATGGAAAACAGGGTTACTACAAACAGTAGGAAACTAATCCTGTGACATAAAATACTGAGGTATGGCCACCACAAAGCAATGCTAGCTGAATTTGCTCCCCCACCTAAGACATGAATGAGAAAGACAGAGCAGGTAATGCTAGACTGCAAAGTATACTGAACGAATTCAGACTTTAGATGGGATAATAAAGAGCAGATAATGGAAATTAAACAAGAACTGTACAAAACAAACAACAGCCTGTCTGCTGGATGAAGCAGAGGGGCCGATTGATAAAGTCAAAACCTCACTGCAGGCAACAACAACGCTACTGAAAAGGATTATACAGCGCCAAACGACAATGGAAGTAAAACTGATTGATCAGGAAGGACAGGCTCACAGAGACAACATTCAGATTAATGTATACCCAACTAAGTGGAGAGCAGTCATTACGCGGCACCGTGGCAAGGAGAGAGAAGAGGACGTCCTCCTTCTTCCTTGTAGAGCCTGCCCTGTGTGTCTGAAACGTTCACTTATAGCTTCTCTTTGGCGTTTGAGCAGCTTTATAAAACTTGAACATGTAATGGCTCCTTAATTAGCAAGTTGACTTTACATAGACGGCATATCTTGCCATATCTGCAAAATCGGCATATCTTTGTGGCAGATTTAATTTTTTCGTACTATTGGTATTGTTTACAGAATCTGAATCTTACTCTGAGTTACTGTTGTTGTTCACAAACTAATAAAACAAGAGATCATTTTTATTTAGTTTTGACTCCGTTTCAGCGCCGCGAGCAAATGTGTCAAACCGGGGGGTGACGGAGGCAACAACTGGGAGCAGAACCGCTTGTCGACCAGCAGCACTTCCGCGGGCGGTGTGGCCCTGGCGTTTATGCAGTGCGTTCAGTGCAGCGGCCCAGGCCAACGCCCACTCACAAAGAGGACAGCTGTGGTGGTGGGTTTTTTTTTCTCTCCACAATCAAATATCAATTTTCACATTCGAAGGTCCATTTTTTTTTCAAATTCGAATTTAAATTCGAATTTAGAATATTCGTTGACAGCCCTACCCCAGCATTTTTAATATTTTCTCTAGGGATGTTACCACACAGAGTAAAAGGGGGGAAATGATGGTGTGAAACAGCAGAGGCACTTTGTCAACCCGCTGAGTTAACGTTACTGTCATTAGCATCAAGCTAGCAAACAATGGTACATCCTCACGGTCGGACATAAAGTAATAACATTAACAAATAGCGGTGGGACTTTTACTCACCACAACTGCAGAGGCTTCCAGCTTCATTTGAAACAAACTATATCATAGACCAGGGGACTGCAACCTTTGCCATTAATAGAGCCATTTTTGACCAAAATTGATTTTTAAAAAATCTGTGTGGAGCCGCAAAACATGTTTCAGCCTTATAATCAAGGTAACATAGCCTATTATGTCTAAATAAGCATTTGTTAATATGTTTTACCACAAGGTGGACACCTTGCAGGGCACTATTTATGATTATTTGGTACTTAAATTTTGCAGAGCTGGCAGTGAGAGCAAACAAATCTGTCCACGCACTACTACATTCTCTATTTCATTCAATTTACTTTTTTGGATTTGGTATCCATAGCTAACCTGCCACTGCTTTTTAGGTTTTGCATCATTTTGATTCATAGAATGAATTTCCATAGACTTCTTTTCTCAAAGGCTCAAGGAGCCACTGGACAGGGGCTAAAGAGCCACATGTGGCTCCAGAGCCACAGGTTGCCTACCCCTGTCATAGACAGTCCGTTATTTATTAATCCCTCTGTGTGTTTATATATTTACTTTTTATCTGCTCCGTTGTCCTTATAAAATTAAAGGTAAGGTCTGGAGGATTTTCCAGTTGCTGTTTGTAAACACACATTCAAATCTGGCCCCTCCTATCAGGCTCAGCTCTCCCGGGTGTACGGAGCCCGGAGGTATGGATGAAGGCTTCACAGAAGAGGTTCAGGCAAGGCTCACGCTGGTGCACGCTCAGACACGCACGGGCATGGCACCTGCGCTCTCTCATTGGCTGGGGAAATCTCCGTCCAGAAGCAGTCCAAGCTCACAAAAACATCAAAATACAGTTAAAGGGCAGGAGCTCTGCAAACAGAGTCACCACCACACATGAGTAGAAGCCCATAGGTAATGATTAAGCAGGATTTTATTTGTATCTGTCTATATTTTGTTTTGTTTGAAAATCCTCCAGATCCTACCTTTAACATATTGCACCGTCATTTCAAACTCAACACTTGTTTCAAATTAAAAGCCCCTTATAACCTCGGCTGAGAGAATCCCTCCATTTTCTAAATAAGCTTTTATTCTGAAACATTTGTCAGAACTTCCTGTGGAAGATACAGTAGCTTGATAGTTTACGTATGGCGCTTCAAATGTAGCTGCCATCTGCTGACGCTTTTAGGTGACTACAGCAACATGTCGGCTGGCACATGAACAGACACAGTTCTGACTCAAATAACAGTGAAAGTAATAAAAATAGGACAAGAATAACCCGATGACATCACACATGCCGTGAAAGACGACCGGGGATAATTGTTGAGTACCAGCGTGTAGTGTGTACCAGGCATAATGCAAGTCCTGAGTCTGAAATATGTTTGTCAGCGAGTCCTACTCCACCTATTTAGACTCCACCCTAGACAACGGCAGCATTTCTCCGACCACGTAGCGAGCCACAAGCTCCGTGGCTTCTTTCAGACTGATAGGTTTAACGTTATCTCCGTTATTAGAACCAAACGACAGCCGTTGCTGTTTCGGAGCTGAAGGACCAGCATTCTAAAAGTAACAGAAGTAAGTGATGTCTTGTTTGAAAATGTACTTAAGTATTTGATTACTCAAACAGCAAACTAACGCGTTAGGCTACTCGTTACTGCAAAAAGTAATCAAAGTACTCTAACACGTTACTTTGTAATGCGTTATACCCAACTCTGGTCAAGAATATTGTTATCTCAAAAATATCCTGAAATATCAATATAATATTTTAAGGCCATATCGCCCATCCCTACAGGGCAGAAACACTTGAAAGCTGTGTTTGACCAGATCTTACCTCTCCCACGTACTCCATGACGAATGTGTTCTTCTTGATGTGCTGCAGCGTGCGGACACCCCATCCTCGGCCATTCTCTGTCTTAAAGATGCACAGGTCAAACTGGATGCCCTTCTGCACTACTCTGTTAGGACAATCGGGGCTACAGCTGCATCGGGAGTTACACTCATATATGGGCTGTCCCGGCCGGATCCGGACCTGACCCTTGTCATTGTAGGCCATGCGGTGCTGGGAGGCCCCAGGGCAGCAGCCATTTACTGGCTCATCTAAACAGTTCTTACACTCACAGCCAACAGCCATCTCATCTAACACGATACCTGGGCCTACTTTGTAGTTGTTGATGTAGGTGAAATTTTTTGGAGGGCCCTCAAGGTCCACTTCGTTTATGACAAAAATGCGACCTGGGTGGTTTCGTGTCTGGTTCAGATGGGCCTCCCAGCGTTGGAGTCTCTGACGGACTGTGGCTTTTTGAACCAGGAATGAGGCAACTTCCTTATCCAATTTTTTAGGCGTGCAGCGTCTCTTGTGGCGCCTCAGCTCCTGATCCAGGTCCAGGTGAAACTGCTTCATTAGTTTGGGGCATTTGAGGTTCCTCTTGGGTTCCCAGGTGTTATCAGACTCTGAGAAGCCCCTCCACTTTACCAGGTAGAACTCCTCCTCCTGAAACACACAACAACTTTAATCAGGGGTGATGTTGGATTCTCTCATTTCTTAATTACGTATCTTTTTCTATCAACACAGATAACAGATGTTGGTGGTTTGACAACTCACAGCCCCAAACCTGCACACCAGGCTTAATGTTTAAGATATATGATTACAATGATTCAAACTTTTAATATAGCTACACACACACACACACACACACATAT